TGGTGCATATATTGGTGCAATCATGTTATTGTTAGTCTGCGCTTTGCTAATATTTACCACCCTTGTATTTGTCTCCTTACCTTAAAATGTGCAATCCTTCTGTCCGGTATTGCTTAGTTTTCGCACCTAAGTTCCTCTATTTGTAATGAGTTTTACAAGTGGTGATTGAGATGTGTTATTATGAACAGAAATTATGGTATTATAATAATCTGTAATCGTTACAACGTGCGAGAAAGTGCATGTTGTTAAAGCAGAACTAATTTACGTTAAAATTGTATTAATCAAACCTAAATCAATTTCTATGTTAATCTATTAACATATCTGTAGTAGGTAAAGAAGATTTTAAAACTTTTTGCCTAATAAATTGTTGCACATTAAATGTTCATAAACTAAGTAAATAGCTCCATAAAACGTAAGTGGCCAATTCAACCATACAAATAACTACCTTCTTAACTTCTATTGTCACATTCATATTCTTTCGCACAATTCTAACATCAAGATCATACAGTCCATCTACACAGAATGTATACACAGAATGTATTCCTTTCTTTGAATTTTTGGACGTTCCTCATCTGTCTGTGGAGTAGGAAGTGATGTACTGTTTGTAGAAATAGTGTTTTCACTTCCTGCAGCTCGTTTGCTTACCTTCTTGCTTAGTACCTCAGAAGGAAACCGATCCAAACATATCTGTAGACCATCTTTTTTGTTGGTAGAATCACCAGACTTTTTAAGAAAATTTCCTACATCAGGCTCATCATTTGTATTGTAGCGTCGTGCCACGCTCAAAACAGACAACCACGTGGAAATAGGCGAGCAACCCCGGATGTTAAACAAAGGGCGGAGTGATGATGCACTGGGACTTTCCGTGGACGTATTGGGCCCAGAGCGACTTTGGGGAGGAGGCAATGGGGGCGGCGGGTTGCGCTAAAAGGGCCTGTATAAGGCTAGGAGAACAATGCCCCAGTCTTCTCGTTCCAGCGGCGTCGGCGACAGGTGAAGCTGGTGTCTGTGCGTGTAGGTGCACTAGGGCGAGGGGCCGGCAATTCATTGTCGTGACTTGCGAGACGCGTAGATGCTCTCAAAGTAGAGCAGCTTCATACAGGGAACATCGGTGGTATGTTGCGGTTGGTAGCCGTTCTTAAATTCTCTCTCCTTGTAGTGGGTCTATTTATTTAATTGTGAGCAGGGTAGTTGTTAAATTGAGACTGTCTCGTCTGTGTTCGTTTACACCTGTATGACGCTACAGTATGTACTATATAATCATTCCAACAAATTAGATAATTTATTTGAGTAAGACACATGTATTTCTTCTTCTTTCTCCGTAACACTATCTTCATTATGTTGAAGAGCGCGCCCGACAGTAATGTACATTTCTGATCCTACATATAAACGTTTGGGGTACTTAATTTCCTTTGAAGCATATACACTACTTGTATAATACGTTTGTTCCTATTTCCCGGCCTATGGGAATAATAAAGCACACTCGGACATTAAACACATCACAAAAGTACAAATGATGTTTACTGACACTAAAGACAGAGCATTTCCTTTTTCTTCGACCACTGCATTAACCTTACAACTTGTAAGACTTGGCGGGGAAATCGACGTCAATGCTCTCGCGAGCGAGATTGCAGAACCAAAATTTATATAAAAATTGATGAAATGGAAAATTACTTTGCCCCAGTTAATCGAAGTTCGCAAAATCATATTTTGTTTAATGACACTATGAGACTGGCATGACGAATGAGCGTGTAAAATGAAATCTTTGGGGTATATAATTTTATTAAGGAAAACTGAATTTATTTTTCACAGACCTTAAGCATTATTGAGGTAATGGTTTTGCAATTTACTGCTAGAGTTGTTTACGGACATAATAATATTGACAAACAGTGAAATAAGTGCCAAAAAATTATATGTTACTTGTTCTTAAACTAAAATGGGTATGACTTTTAATAAATTCCTTTTGTAAATTCCAAAAAAGGGAATGTTTATCATATTGTTAATTGAGCAGATTTTTTGTATATTTAATTCATTAGGACATTTTAGAATGAAAATGGTAAGCAATACAGAAAAAATTTTTGAATTTTGTGAAATTGATTTTGCAAAAATTTAAGAAATGAAAAGTAGTGAGTTGTAACGGCAGAAGCAAGTTCACTCCATCTGCCTGTGACATCGCCAATCACGGCAACGAAAAGTCCGTAATGTAAAAAGATAGGGTAATATCTTAGGTATCTATATATATATATATAATATTATATATATATTATATATATATTATATATATATATATATATATATTATGCGTAGGTATCATATAGAAAATATTGCTTTAAGCTCTTTCTGGCAACTTGTTACTCGTCGCCTTGCTTAGTAACGTGCCTTAAAGAGAACCGCAAGAAGCAGAAAGAAATTGCTGAAAGATATTGCGGAAATTGATTTATATTGTAAGGACTTATCCTTAGCAGCAATGAAATAAAGTTTCCTTAATATCAACATATTTCATCATCGCAGGAGGAACCTTTTTTTCTCAAAATTAACTAACTCTTAGGAAAATATTGTACAACACAAAATATACAGCACGATTCAATTAATACAATTTACTTTCATATTTACTTTACTTTCATTTAATATTCACATTGGGGAAATAGTGTTTTCTCAAAACAAATCTATATTTTTTCACATGTTCTCTTAATTTTTCGAACCCCTAAAAGTATAACGGAAATACGAATTTAAGGACATTAAAGGAAAGTAGAACCTTGTTCTTTACGCAAATTTTCGTTAAAAACTTTTGAGCTGATTTTTAGAAAATTGTCTGTGGAGCGTTTCTGAAAAATGCCATTTTTAAGCTCATTTTCACTCAATATTTTAGTTTTTCACAAGTCGCCGATAGCTGCCGTAAGATTACAATACGTTTTTTTATTTTTTACTTAAGGCGAAATATTGAAAAGTAACAGTTAATTTTAGGTCAGGGTTTGACATGGATGTTATTTTGGAATGAAGTAAATAAAATTATGTAAACTGACCATCAATAGGATTATTGGCCAGGAGTCCAGCAACATAACCGTTCCTGCAAAGAACCACAATAGGCACTTGAGAGAGACCCGCAGCTGTCCTTATGTGTCTAAATTGTCTCTGACAATAAATAAGTTAATGGATGATAATATCGTCTCATTTACTTGGTTATTTGAGGTTACATACATGGCTGAATGACAGTTTCGTGGGAAGGCACTTGGAACTGCATCCATGTCCGCGGAACTAGTGTCTGAGAAAACTAGTCCGTATAAGAGCTCAACCCATTGTAATTAATTTTTCATTATTCCCCCTCATCGACACCTTTATCAATGAATGGTAGTATCAATATTCCGTAAAACCTCTCTTCATGACAATCTCTTTCAACGTGACCCCCCCGATCACGTTTTTGGGGACCGAATGTATTTTCTGAAAGACCAATGCATTGAAATCAGCATTATACTGACCACATCTGTTCCCAGCCAATAACCATCAATTCCTTTACAAATCACCCGTTTTCTACTTTAAGGCGACTCGAAACCCAAGTTTCCAGAAATGTTTATCAATATCTTATGTCGTTTTATGCTCACTAAAACTTGCGGCCTTTTTTGCAACCGGTGATGATCTAAGATGTTTCTCACGCGGTAGGGGGAACCGCCGCTGTCATTTATGCACCTTTAGAGACAGTAATAGATGGTTGGACAGGTTTCGTGTTCACCACTTTATTGCTTTTCGAAGTGTTAGTGGCGAAAGTAGTGACTTCAATGAAACTACGATCAGCGTCTGGAAATCGCGAATTTCCGATATCATCAAAGCATACATGCGACATGCGACAGCTACAGCATGCATGAAACGGTCCTTTTGCAAAAACTCGCGGATTTCAACGAAAATGGGACCTGCACCATTTTTTAAATTGTTTTCTATGCAGGATTTTTTTTTTCTTTTTTTGAAAATTTGAAGCCATTTTTAGCATATTTAAAAATGTTTTTGAGGGTTTATGTAAAGTATTCCCCAAAATATACGTTTCAAACTCGCAGGTCTTCCGGGGGAAATCAATTTTAGGGAAAATCGGCAGCGTTGACCACAGATGTACTGGAGGACAAATGAACAAACAGATAGACTTTTGTCAGTCAATTTTTCGGAAAAGACCTTTGCGGTAAAATGCGTTCCAATACTCCTAAATTTCAAACTCAAAAATACATAGTAAGAAAAAGAAAATTGGGAACCCAATATTTATGGGGCCTTTGGTTCTCACAATATTCACAAGGTTCTGAAATAAATGTGTATCGCTAACGTTAGAGTATTATGTTAAAACTTTACTCATACAATTACTATCTGATCACTCATGTTGGGTGTCCCACATTGTTAACCTTATGAGCATTGTCTAAATATTTTCTTTCCAAATTATAATTCCACAATATAATTTCTTGATTTTTATGTAGTGCAAAGGCATTATGAACAACTCTGTCCTTTATTAGGTTATAGAAAATGGTTAAAGTAAAATTTGCTTAATGCAGAATCTTAAAGGACCCGTATTTTTAGACACGATTCCGCATTGTACAATGTAATATTGCAGAAATGTAGAATGCACACTTACCAGGATCATATTGGTCAGATTTCCAGATTACACTCATTCCACATTCAGAAAGTATTTTTTTTTATAATTTTCATTAAAAGTATTAAATGTCAAAATTATCTAAACCATTCTTCACAAAATAATTTACTAATTACAATTGGTTACATTAATAACAAAAAGGACAATTTATTTTCAATTGATAAATTTAATTCTCAAGCAGAAATTTCATATTTCTGAAGATTGTGTATTGGAATTTTCTTGAACACTACAAAATTAGAGAAATATGGTATAAAAACATCAATCCTTGAGAGCATACTATTCCTTTAAATATGAAAAATATTATTCAACTATGCTTGCTGAAAAAGGAAATCTCAAGGTAGTATATGAATAATGAAGAAAGTATAAAAAGATGTTTAAATATTTTATAGATAATATCTTAATTTATTTCTTCTCTTACGTACAAAAAATACCACACTCCACAAATGGACTGCAAATTTACCTTAACTTGCACAGTAATTCAAAATAACCATTTTAAAAATCGTTTAAATGTTCACTGTACATTAGTATTAATAAAGCTTTTCCAAATTGTGTGTTACATACAAGACTCTTCTTCTCTTAAAAGAACAGCAGCACTATTACATAACTTTTAATAATTAGATTTCAATTGCTTTACAAAAGCAATTTCTATTTCACAACAAACCTTGCCATTACTCACAATAAAAACAAACCCTGTCCAAAATAAAGGTGGAGGGGGTTCACTAAACAGAAAAATTAATAAACAATTCTACTTGCCTAAATAATACAATTCCCATCTTCATCTCCATAATATTATTAAAAGACAGAAGAGAAAGAACATGATCTGTGTATTTCTGATGCATTGCCCTTAAAAATTCGTATTGGGAAAAAATTTGTTTCAATGTACAAATCAAATCATTTCACTTACTTATTCCCACCACCTTCTCAGAATGTGGTTGCACATATTTATTTTAAAATTTTCAGTCCATCTAAATAATTTTGTTTCCAAGTTTTTAAGCACAACATAACATTTATTATACAAAGAATATTTCTCTGAAAATATAGATTCTTAAGAATATTGATTCTGAATGTTTATTGTAAGTTTCCAGCATACCATGAGAAAGTTGATGAAGCTTTATAATATTTACCAATACAACCCACTAGTATTGAACAAAAGTTATTTTATTTTCATTGTACAAATTTACAAAATTCAAAATTATTCAACTTTTAAAAATTGGTTGTCTAGTCTAACTATTAACCACAGAAGACAGAAAATAAATACCATTCCAGTGTTTTTATTTCCATTTTCTAAAATTTAGTACCAAATTTAATTAAAAGAAGCAAAACTAGAAATGAGAGTGGCAAGAATTGCAAATCAAAACATTATTATAGATTAAATTGAAGAAATAAAAGTAGTATGTACATGAAAAATAGATAAATGAGAAGGAGAAATTATATTAACAAACACAATTTAACAAGTTTATCGAGTTAACATAACAATGTTTATCGAGAACAAGAATTATCAACAGATTTTGATTTGTAACAATTAAAATTAATCTCATGTCTGAAGGCAACCACATGGAAAGAAATGGCACTCTATGAAATAGACATTTGTTCAGCAAAATATTAAATTATATTAAAAGAAAAATAGAAATACTTAGAACTGCCTACGCAACTGTTTTAACAGTTAAGTAAGAGAAACCAAGTAACAAGAAATATATAAACTACTGTTGTAAACAGCTCTGTTCACATTGGAATTCATTAATGTAATCAAATTTTGGTACATTGAGCCACAAAATAACTGTCTATAACAACACATTGTAAGAATTTTGAAATGCCTATATATGATAGCTGCACTGTAATCAATTATAATTTAACTAAAACTATGTATATTTATTATATTGCAACATCATTAGAACTATATAATGTGTTGATAAGTTACAGATTTGTCTGAAGGATTTTTCAGGAATATGAATATAGAATATAATATCACAAATGTTTTCAAATAACTATGCACTGATTAAAAACAATTTTCAAAAATTGAAAAACTGAGTTATCTTGAATGCAACATAGATAAAAATCTGAAACCAAATATTATTATACAACAAAAGAAATTATATTAAATATTTTAATAAGTTCAAAATTTGAATACTCTAATATATTGCACAGGTTCTTTTCTATCGAGAATCAGAAAATAAAGACATAAAACAGTAATGATTAATCACATTTCAAATCTGGTAACTTTGTTATTTATATTGAAATGCAATTATTTTTGTATGTAATATTGGCATTTATCTTTCACATTTGAAAAATCATGCCATTTATACTCAGTCTTCATTTTACATCTCATTGAAAAAAGTCTGTCTCTCAAAATGGAATGCTTAAGAATGGAATGTATAGAATGACTAGATTCCTTTCGTTTTTCCTGCTTCCCCACCTTCAACATAACAGGGATCTTCACCGTCACTATTATAAGCCAAGGTTTTAACTTTCATTGCATTTGCCTCTTTTGCTTTCCATTCTACAAAACAGAAACTAATTGTTCCAATAATTGATAACACAACCAAAATGCCAAGCTGAGCGTATAGTCCAAGATGACTGCTGTAGAAGAAACATGCAGCTGCAGCCAAAGACTGAAAATATAGAAATAGAATTAACAATATTTATCATTTTTCAAAAACCAAAGAGATTAGAAAGTAAGAAAACAGAAACAGTAATTCATCTAATTGTCAATAGTATGACTGTTTAACTAACCTGAGTGAATTTGAACAATGCGAATGCTGGGGCACTATCTTCAGACCAAACACTTCCTAGCACAGAATATATCTGGGTATTGTAACAGCTGTCTCCATATCCCAACAAAAAACTGCAGAACATGGCTAAATATGGACTGAAAATTAAAAAATATAATCAGTACTTCTTGAAATATCAATTACTACTCATTTCACTTATTAAAATTAATTGACTTTTAAGAAAAAGTGAAAAATAACAATTATATGGAATAAAATTTAATTACTTACTTGCTAGTTATGAAGGCAGCATCCTTTGTGTCGTGAAAAGGTGCAGAATTTGGTAAATTCAGAAAAATAAGGAAAAACGAAAGTATATGAATCAGAAAACCAGCAATTACAATGGGGTCTCTCCCCCATCGGGTTGTTCTCTGGCCCAAAATTCCAAACATTGCACCACCTAAGGAAACAATCAAATAAATTACTTTTTATGATTCCTCTAAATTCTCTGGCATCCCGACAGTATGTTTAAACATTTACAAACAAATTATTCACTGCAAAGGCCAAAGTACATTATTAATTTGAAATCTTAGAAATATAATTATAACTGAAAAAAGTCATAGTATTAACAGAGAATATTCATTTAAATTCCAGTACCTACTACTCTCATAGCCGTTAAATTACTAGTTACGTCATAATCACAGAAAATAAGAATTATAAATTAGGAACTATGCATCTGAAGGGAATGGGTCCTCTCATTTGAAATATATTTTTTGAAGTAAAAGAAATGTTTCTACAACTGGAATCCAAAATAGTGTGATTTCTTATTCATTATCGTAATATTAAAAAATAGAAATGAAAAGGGGGGAAAAAATGCCTCTTCATTTGTTATTCCTTAAATATCTTCCATTACAAAATTCAAAAGAGGTGTATAACTGGCTATGAAAGTGGCTACTAAAATGTCTAAAATATAAGTTGTGTTAACTTGCAAAATACATATATGCATAATACAACCCCCAAAAGTTACATGTTATCTAGGAATAAATAAAGGAACAATTTAGAACTTTACATCTAAAAATCTTTGTATCTGAAAATTACCTAAAACTTCTCCAACACCTACAAAGATTCCAGACAGACCAACCAATTGTTTGGCACTCTCTCCCATTTGTTGGGTAAAACCAATGCTGGGCCCATATACTCCACTGAAAAACGACAGCTCTACACCTGAAATGCAATTAAATTTGATTATTTCACTTCAATTTTTAAAATATCATCCCCAATTACAGAACTATTTTGAATAGAATAATTAACTTTTTATTGTTTTTATATTGCAGCTCAACACACAAAATTTGTACACTTAAGTCAAATAAGAGAATGTTAAAGATTTTTTAAAAGTTAAAAAAAAAAACAACAACTAAAAACTACTGTTATAATCACTATAAAGGAATTCAAAAGACCAGAAAATGTACAACTGTGTCGTAATAAAAAAAAAAATCTTCCATTAAAATATAACCATCAAACATGTTGAGAAATATATTTACCTGTGTAGAAAAACGTAAGGCTGAGAAGTAACATCTGTTTGGTAAATAGCAGTTTAAAAGCCTTTACAAGAGCTCTGACAGGACCATTTGTATCATTTTTTGCCAACTCTCCATCATAATTTTGAGCAGGTCGTAGTATCAACAGGAAGACAATTCCCACACCAGCCAACACAATCAAAACAATGAAGACAAGCAAACGAGTTTCACTATCTATATGCGTTTTTCCTTGGAATTTAATGTATACAAATAAATTTCCTAAAAACATGCTGAAACAAATAAAAAGAAGACGCCATTAATAAAATTAATTTGAATGACAATGTTCAATCAGAATTTCTAACTCTGTGGTCTGAGTACCATGAAGTTTTCACAACAATGAAATCATTCGACAATGGTACTGCGTCATGAGAAAATTAAATTTGACATGTTAAAAAATTCCTTTCTTACACAAATTCAGGGAAAAACTAAACTTTAATAGTAACACAATTTGGTATCATACTATTAAGTATATCTTCAACAGTTTGTATATAATTTCATAATGATTAATTGTGATATGCAATTAGTTGAAGAATCCCGATTCAGCCAGTGTATTCATTTATCACAATCCTCACCTATATCTCCACCCATACTTGCAACAATGATGCTAACAATGCCCTGCATATTGCAATAAACTAAAAACAAACCATCAAAAACACTGTTTGAGGTAACATATCAACTTGCCCACATTGCTTTTTTCTTGTTCACTTGAAGAAGAAAATATTTATAAGCAGTTGTTGGAGTGGTTCAAATATTTCTGTGGGTAATGAATATACATACTAAATTATAGACATGACATCAAAGTTGATGTTTTCATACATTATTTAATTTATTGAAGCTAATGTTTAGGTTAAGGTTTTTCACAATCCTAATAATTTGTGCTCAATGTTTTACCAATGTCAATATTTTATTTTTGAATAATAGAAGATGAAGATGTACAACAACGTGAAAATTCTACAATTAAAGGGGTTGGGAGATGATAGTTCTAGCCCATATTTCATAAATCTAAACAAACAATTTTAGAATGATTCTTTAAAACGAACATTATGATCAAAATTCTGAACAAACAGGTTTGTAAAAATACAGTATGGATGTAGAAAGCTGTCAGAAGTGAACACAGGAAATAAGAAACCTCTCATTGCACTAAAATTCAGGTTTACCTCTGTCTGACAAAAATTATAGTCTTGTGGCTTAGCACTATGTTTCCCTGCCCCTTGAATTTCTACATATTGATCACATCACATTCCATTCCAAACGTCTCAAAGAGTTAAGCTGAAACAGTCGAAATTTCAAAAAGAAAATACCATTCTAAGAAAGTGTAATCTTTCTTTAGTGATTCGGGTGGAGGATTGGGACTGAAGTTCAAAATTGCAATTGTCCCTGCCTGAAATATTTTGTAGAACCGCCACTAGTTCTCGACATATAAAAGGCTGGGAAATGAGAAAACTGTTTTAAAAGTCTGAAGAAAAATTTATTGTAATGCAGTATGCTGTAGTGCATGGCGTAAATACGAAATATGGCTAATGTTAGTAGTCGTAATTAGCACATTATACAGACGGCATGGATAAAGCTGTGTGAATAACGATGAACGAATTTCAGGCTGCTTGCTGCCGATTTTAATCATAGAGCGTGGGCTGAAGTACTGTGAGTGCGAGGTGTCTTGTATGTTCTCAAGAAATATTCTGGCGTTGGAAAATACACTTTAGAAAGAGTCACGGTTGTTTTATGACGGGGCCTCGATGCAAACTCGGAAATTCGTAACGCAGCATCTACTAAGATGTATCTCGGGCAACTAAGATGCAGGGGCCGATCATTGGAGGGAACGGGCATCGCAGATTTTTGTTAAATAATGAAAATATTCGTTAACATATTATATATTGTTTATGTACAGTAGATATGATACTATACAATATTATTGTTTAAATAATTACATAATTCGTAAGTAAATAAATATTCAAATCTATTTTAATAATACATCAAATGTAGATGAAAATTCTAGGCCTTTTTCTGGGGGGGGGGGGGCATGGCCACCATGCCCTCCCCCTGCTTCGGGCCTTACTCGCCCATTTCGGATAAACTGGTATTTAACCGGCTAATTCGAGAATAAGCCGGATTCGGACATCAGCCGAAACACACAAGGGAAGTCATTCAGGTGACACACACACACACGCGCGCGCGCACACGCACACCTAAAACTACACCAACGCACACGCACACCTAAAACTACACCAACGCACACAAAACTCCCACCAGTCTTCTTCTCAATTAAAGGAAGAAATGTTTCTTGGGCCATTCTGCAGTGACAGCCTTCGTTTCTGCACAGTTTTTTTATTATTAGTTTTTCTTTTTCTTTAACATCTAGCAGATTGTGCTTAAAGTAAGACTAAGTGTCGAGTATATTTTGGATATTGTCGAAGAAAAAAAAAAACAAACTATAACTTCGATAGTACGTTTTTAGACTGCAGGATTTTCTAGGATTATGATAGGCAACACACGTGACGCTGAGTAACGACTGAGGTTTCCCTTACGTCGGAGTGGTTGCAGAAACACGTTTCAATTTTCCACTAGACTTGTGAATGGGAATTGTGAAGTCTAGAGAAAACTGAAAACACGTTGCCCGGAAACTCTGTACTTCACCCCGCAAGATGTCACATACAGTTTTTAACTTTTTTTTGGCGTAAATAAATATTTTTTTTTAAAATGCTCATTGCAACTGAATATTATTGTCTTACGCTATTGCAATTACGTAGTGTTGTAGAAAATTGCGAATTGGACAAACTTATTTTTTTCTTACTTCTTATTGGTCGGCATTGTTGTAATTTGAATGAAGTTAATATGTAATCAATACAGAGGACTTCCCTTCGCGTTGTGGGAGCAATCTCCTCAGATAATTAGTGATAGAGTAATATACAATAGAAACCCGGTATTTCGAACTAATTGGGGGGATTCGGAAATGTTCGCTGTTCGGATTCGGAAATGTTCGGATTATCCGAAAAATTGTACCGTGCATATACAAATATATCTACAGCATTACCAGACACAGTAACGTGCGATGTAAGAAAATGGCAAAGTAGCGTAGCGACATAAGTAAGTGACAATGTTTCGAACAACGGAGTAGAACGGAGTAGAAACAGTAAAGTACAGTACATAACCGATCGCATGCGGTAGTTACTACACTGTTTAGAAGAGTTGAAGCACAGTTTGTGTCCCTGCTCTTAATGGTTATTCTAGGATTACCAGTATTCAGAATTGGGTTGACTTACAGTGTTCATGTTTTTTTTCGTTCATACATTAAATCAATACAAATCAGGTGTTTTATGTTGTTTTTTTATGTTTCCTCCATCCTGAATTTTGTTCGGATTATCCGAAATTTCGGATTAGCGGGCTTCTACTCTAGTAGAATAAGAAGATGACACTGAATGTTTGCATCAGCGTCAATGTTAAGAACATATTCGTACAAAATTTAATGAATTTTTCATCATGTTAATTCAATAATCCTTTCTTATCTAGTATAACGCGCGTGTTTCAACAAAAAATGAAAGAACAAGAAAAGAAAAGAAAAGAAAAAGCATCGAGAATTCTTTGCAAGAGATGAGAGTATCGTTCTTGCAAACAAGAAAGCAAATGCTGAACGTAATAGACAATGTAGGTTGAAATGAAAACTTGAAATGGAAAGGCTTATGAATGTGTACGTAAATATGAAAAAGCATATCCATGATTCAATGTTTCTCTGTGCTACAACAATTTCAACGTTTTTCGGATACAAAGCGCACAAAACGCAAATTTGTGAATTGACGGAACTGGGACGCGTGTTTCGAATGCCCAGCATCGTCCGTGGCCCTGCGATCGCCCGCGAACTCGCCAGCCGGCTCCTAGAATTGCGATGTTCTTGCACCGCTGCACCGTTCTCAAACGACGCAGATGGTCGGCCGAGTCAAAAGATTAACGAATCATTTATTATTGCTAACATTATCAAAAACGCGCTGGGTTTTGTTTTCACCTTAAATTACTCGATCTGTATATAAAATTACTTAATTGGAAGGGTTTTTATTTACAGATGTTTCCAGAGCACAAATTGCAACATACAAATATTTCTTTACAAATTGCAGAACAATATCAAAACGTTTCAATGCTCTTCTAATTGTATTGCAACAGTCATTTGCTTAGTTAAGAAAATAAAAAAAAATATTAAGCTAATAACTTGGGTGTTTTTTTTTTTTTTTTTTTTTTTTTTTTTTTTAACTAATCAACTTTTGCAAATATGAATATCTTTATTTATAATTGAACAAAATTATTGATCAATAATAGTCAATTATTTAATGGCAATTTTATTTTCTCTTCAATCCACTGCTATTCAGGAGCTCTTACTGTTATTATTAGATTAATAATAAATTTAACTACAGGCAAGAGATATAAAGTTACCTGGCTTGCCAGCATAGCCCAAAATATACCAGAGTTTCTGGCCGATAGTATTGAATCACGAATTGAGCGTTAGATAATTTCCCTTGGCCGGTCCATATCACAGCAGCTCCAAATTCCAATTCCAGGAAGTCCACATACAGCAACCACGTTGAGGTATCGAAAGGAAGCAATAAAATAACCTAAAAACAAGCGAAAAAGTACATTTACTCAGAATTTTAAACAAACAGTGGTGGGGAAAGTGTTATTTTTTAATTGACAGTTAAAGTATACTTACACACGTACAAGTGTAGGTCATTAACTGCTTCTGAATATCACCACCTAAATTTCATAAATAAATAGAATATATAAACAAATAAATATATAAATAATATAATAAATAAATATATAAAATGAAATATATAAATAATATATAAATAAATATATAAATAATATATAAAATAAATATATAAATAAATATAAAATATAATAATAAATATATAAATGAATAAATAAGAATCCAGCTTAACAAGACTTTAAGTAGTTTTGCGTGTTCGACTTTTGGAATCACGACAATCTGTGCAGGGCAATGGACACGTGTTCGTTTCGCAGCAGGCTTTATCTGTTACCAAAACAATACTCGCAGACTGAGGGATATAAGCGGGTTACTGTGTTAAAGAACGTCCGACACAAGCGCAGGTAATTAAAGCAAGTACAAATAAATTAATCAATACGTAACTACAGCGTATGTGACAGCCACCAAATGAGCATCGCCAACCCGAGGTCCGCGTTACACTGATGACGACCCCGGTGACACCCAATTGCATATCGCAAAAACTGCGTAGATAATGGCCAAACTTGTTATTGCATCCCCCTTCAAAGCTGTGAATTCTCGTTGTGTATCCTGTCCAATTAGTTTTCTGCAAAAATAGAACAAAGTATCGTTTATAAAAGAACAAATGCAAGAACTGTTTAATGCGCAAGCTATGAAACCAAAAAATGGAAATTGCACAAAACAAAAAGAAGATACTTACATATATTTTAACATTAACGGTATACACCGTTTTCATCTCTCACATCTTAAAAAATACAAGTGCATTAACTAAACTAATAAATTGTAAAAGTTTTTAGAGTAGAATTGAAATTACTGTGTCAAGACAAGTTGAGTGCCGCCTCACAAGGTATCCTGCTCAAAATACCAACGAGTTATTTATGTTGTCGCAACTGACAGAATGCCAAGCAGTGCAACAAATTAATATCGGTACCAATCGCTGGTGAACGCTCGCGACCAGATTGCACCGTAGAAAGTGTTCTGCCAACAGACACGTTGATCTCATTTGAGGAAAAGTGGATATAGACCTATATGTTGAACATGTGTCAGTACTTTTGTCATTTTGGTTCCTCCCTAATAAATGCCAAAACTCATTCCTCTTGGTCTCGCCAAACTTCCAATCTTCCGTTCACAGCTTCAATAATTTTTCCTATAATAATTATCCATCACCTTTCCATCAAATTATCTTTTTATTTAAAAGGACGCAGTCAGAAAAAAATTAATGCACTTAAAATGTACGTTATAAAGGCGCTGGTATTCCAAAGATAAATCTTCATTTAGAAAATTAACTACAGAAAACTAACAAATAGAGTAGGCAAATACATTGGCGATGACAAATGCGGTGTTTCTTAATGTGCGGACTTGCTCACACGAATACTTACTTAAGTGAGTGATCAACAGACATGTAAGATATTTTAACCACTTTCTGCAATAAAAATCCCTCTCTTTCTGTTAAGCAATGGGTAGAGTCGCAATAAACTTTTGTCAAACCAAAAGTACACAACAAAAGAAGTTTGTTCTTAAAGCTTCTTGGGTTCGCTAGCTAAATCGTAAGGTAAGAACATGAACCTTATTCTTCCTACACACACTAATATCGAGAATTGAATTTCCCGACTATTCAATTAAAATGTTCTGCTTTCGAAATGATGAACAATAACATCCCCATATCCAAACCTATGTAAACTTCATATCATATTACTGGTACTCCGCGAAAGTCAAAAGCAACAAATCGGCCCACAACCATCAAAAAAATAGGGCGGTGCCAGCACTTCCTACACGTAAGGCCCATTCACAATGCAAAATAAACATAAAGCATGGTGATAACAAAAGTTAGGACTACGTCAATAAGCGGACTCATTCACAATGTGTTCGCATAATCAGTACAGGTAAGACCGTTAACTTAAAAAGCTTTCAAGCTTCGTGCTATGCTTAACGTACGACATAAGAAATGAACAATCAACAGTTACATTAACTCGAAACGAGAATCGAAATAGGATGAGTCGACACTAACATGGTCAGACGAATGGAAATTCTTCCATTTCCAAGCGAGAGTTTAACTATAATGTTCTCACAGTCAATACAAAACTTTATTTGCTTACGTTTATGTCAGGCTTTGGATACTTCAGTCTATCACTTATGTTCTGTTTTTGTCTATTGCGTTATGCAATATACCTCCCAGGAAAGGGAGCCAAGTCAAACTTGAGAAGCCAGGACCGAGGATAAAGAAGGCTTTTACGCATTTTGCCCAATAAAACACCCTTAAATCCATCTCCGCTGCCCACTTCAGAAGCCGAAGAACTGTGAGGAATAAGTGTTGAACACACTATTTAAGATCAATAACAAGAGCGCCATGGTTCATCATAATAAACAACTTTATAACGATATAACACATAAATGAAACAACACACCAAGTAGCATTCCTATGCAAACAATATTTATATAAACTTATCCTTCGTACAAGGCATCACTCACTAACAGACTTTTGGAAAGATCCCAGAAACCAAAACCACAATTAAAGACAGCTTCGCGCTCCGATTCTTTCCTCTAGATATTTGCAAACGTTGAATAATTCTCCTGAGGTTGCTTTTGTTCCTCTACCCTATATTAAGATCAATTAAGTAAAATTTTAACATGGTTAAGTTAATTAGATGTCATCAAACAATTGCAAGATTTTATTGCTAAACTGAACATTGTACTTCAACAAACAATTATTATTTTTTTTAACTTGGAGAGATGGTTACAAGGACGCGTCGGTAGAATCGATTCCCGCCCGAGCGCGCGCCGTTACAAGGAACGTCGGCTACGCCTCTGAACTTTTGCAGGCCGCGCGCGACGGCCTTGAGCGAGCGGCGCCATAGCGCGCCCACCGCCGCCCGCCGCCGCGGCGCGCGAGTACGGGGAGAGCAGGGCAGGAGAGAAAGGCGTGGCAAGAGAGAAACCGCAAAAAACATGCCAAAGGTAGGCAGCGTCCGCAAGAACTGGACACGAGCGAAAGCGAGAGAAACCGCGCGGCGAAAATAAACGACAGGAACGGCAAACTCGAGGGAGAAAGTGAACGAAAAAAATCAACGCAATAACCGAAAGAGGAAAAATGGCGAGGGAATTATTTGGAAGATGCGTGAAGAGTGCGGACGAGATGGAGGAAGGAAATGTAGTTTATTGCGTTGGTATTACTTTGACGACAAAAACCATAAGGCCTTCCCTTTCTTGAATTCCATCTTCTATAAACAAGTACGTATTGTCTCTAGGCAAATTATTTAGCTTTATAGCGTTTTGAAATTTCAAAGCAGAATGTTTCACATCGATGGTGTTTAAATCGGATAAATTTGGTTCGTCAAATACAAGGGATAGATCTTGCAGGAATATTAACTTTGCCTTTAAAAAATAGGCATAAACAGAAAATGCCATGTCAAATAGTGGTTTTTAGATCTGATCATCGTGATTTACATTTAGAATTTACCGCATAACATTCATAGAAGGTCTTTTAGAAAATTACAGGCATGAACGGCGGCCTGAGGCTTGCCAAACGTCCTCCACAACAGACAAAGAAAACTCTTTTCGCTGGCCTAATTTTTTATTTACGGAACAAAAATCTAAACATCCAATTGAGTGCGGCATTCGATCTAATCGATGGGTGCGAACCTCCAAAGAGACAAAAAGGTCAAATATTCAAAACTTTTCATTCCGTTTCTTACAGTGGAATTCATTCCGTATATAGAATAAAACATTTTCTGTGAAGGTTTCTAACGTGGTTGCTGGCTAGAAGACTGAAAATGAGTAAATTCTGATACAGATTGACGACCAAGACAGTTGACGCATGCATCGTCGCACTGTGTTGGGCATTATCTCACAAAACTCACGAAATTAACACCACAATCAACAAAAATAACGTAGAATGGCGATTTCAAGTCTTATCACACTCATTTCCTGGAATCCCATGCTACTATCTTGTCCTCCTTCCCTCTACATACACTCAGAATGGGGCAATTCGACGCCACGTCAAGAATCAAAATCGGCATTTTTCCCCTCTCGCAAAGCGAGGTCAATTGCACATGCGCACGAATTTTTGCCGACCGCCGCGATCTCGCAAACCGCGCGCGCGAGAAAGAAAGAAAGCGGAGGCGCTGTCCGGACCGCTCAAGGAGCGCGGCCGTGACGAGGCGGATGGCTCGGGCGGCGCCAAGCGACCACACGCGCACGCCACACGCGCTCGAGTGAGGATTTCGCGTTTCCGTGCGCGTCAGCTGTAAAGGTCATTTCGTCTCGCAAGGGTATGGCGCTAGCTGTGCGGGCTAGCTGTCGCAGTGCGCTAGCTGTGCGCTAGCTGTGCCGCTAGGCTGTGCGCTTAGCTGTGCGTAGCTGTTTGCGCTAGCCTGTGCGCTAAGCTGTGCGCTAGCTGTGCGCTAGCTGTGCGCTAGCTTGTGG